GGGGCGGATTTCTCTCAAATAACTGCTATAAATAGAGCATAAGTTGGAGAGAAAGAAGAACACATCGGAAAAAAACACTCAAAACACTCTGTATACACTGGATATACACTCTGTATACACTGGATATACACTCTGTATACACTGNAGTAATTGTATGAGGAAACGATCTCATTTAACCAGTTACAATTTGAATAGAAGAAAATAACTTCACAAAGATTTCATGTGTTTTATTACCAAAATAACGCTTGTAAAGGACCATAAAACTGATATGCTGAAACTGTACATTCAGTTCTTTACATTTAATGTATGGTTCCATCTTACTCAGAAATTTGGATCTGAACCTTCTAATGAAAGATAATGGAAGGCAAAAATCGACAAGCTGAATTTCCCACAAGTGGGGTTTGGTCCGGGGAGGGTAAGATGTACGCAGCCTTACCTCTACCCTAGGAGGACAGAGAGACTGTTTCCGATAGACCCTCGTTGAAGAGAACTGCATGTCAAGTATGACTACAATATATCAATATAAATAGCATTAAACGTCTTTACTTCATTACCCAGCCCGTCTGTTCTAAATTCTTTTCAAAAATAAAGATATATTAACAAATTGCCAAAAATTCTTAGATGCAATTAATGGTTTGGAAAAAATGCACACTGCTGAATGAGCCATTTCCTGTATATTGTCCCACTGAAATGAGTGCTAAGGACTTACCAGCTCCTAAAGTAGCTGAAATTCTTTGACATTGGCACAAATAAATTATAAACAAAATAAAAAGAAGGAAGAATAATAAAATCAAACATAAAAAAGAAGGAAGAAGAAGGCAGCTAAGGAATCAAATTTTGTTGACTTGTTTAGCACAATAATTATCAAAGTATTGAATGAAACTTCCCCAGAAGTGACGCGCTGAAATCTTTCCTCATGAGAAAGGGTCTTAAGTCATTGATGGTGATAGTCAAACTCGTCTATTTTTTTTTTCCAAGTTTACCTTAAGTCAATCAAATTGCAAGCAATATTTTGATGCAAATTAGAGAAAAGAACAAATGAAGTAATATTAAATTAGAGCAAACAATAGGCACAGAAAGACAACAACGACACATTGAAAAAATAAAAAATCTGAAAGGGAGATAACAAGAAAAGTTGTTGCACAAAAATCCACTCAAGTGTCTGCGTCAATTATTTTCTTGAGCCGAATGTCTTTCGGAAACAGCCTCTCTACTCCTTCGGGGTAGGGGTAAGATCTGCGTACACGCTACCCTCCCCAGACCCCATTAGTTAGAATTTAATGGGTTGCCATTAGTTGGAATTGAATGGGTTGTTGTTGTTGTCTGCATCAATTAGTGCACTAAATTTTTCTTCAAGAGAAAGGTATGATTTTCAGTTTGCACTAGGAATCTGTAGTGGACCTAAGAAGATAGTGTTTGTGCAAAGAAAGTTGTTGTTCTTTCCTTCTTCTTTTTTTCTTTTTTCTCTTTTATGTAAGGATATATTGATTCTTGAATCATCAACCTCCTCTTATATATAGTCTGGATATATCTTATAGTCTTGTCAATATTCAGTCGTCAAGTAGGTAAAGTAGGCATACGAACCACTTTGCCTTAGACTCGATTGGAACAAAGCAAAGGAGGCGGAATGGACAAGGGCGATCTTGCTTGGCACGAAGGCTGCTGGTTTGGGGGGTAAAGTACAGTACTGAAGTTCCTCGGACTTCTAGGCAGTTTTTCTTTTGTGCAGCTGTTCACCGTTGGATCTCATCAATACAGCCCCCTATAGTTTTCGTTCGGTCTATGTAACTAGAGATTGGTTTGAGTGACCTTGAGAAAATACAAGTAGGTAAAGAAGTAGAATATGACTAGCAAGATAGTATATTGGTGGTTGTTGATTTTGCTCATAGCAAATGGATGGTGGTGCTGTTATTGTTGTTGGAAAGAAGAAAGAACTGCTCTCTTGCAACTCAAGGCAAATATAAACTACACAGATCATAGTTATTTGTCATCGTGGGTTGCGAACGAAACCTCAGATTGTTGTCAATGGGAGGGAATTGTTTGCAGCAACACCACCAGAAGAGTCACTGAGTTGGCCATTACTGTCAAGAAAATTAGTCAAGAAGAACAACTTAGGACTAATGGTACAAATACTGATGATATGTTGAGGAACTGGCTTTTCAATGCATCTTTATTTATTCCCTTCAAAAATCTCAAAGCTCTGCTCCTCCCTGGACATGCAATTGCCGGTTGGGCGAAAAATGAAGGTTTGTTCTCTCTATATACAACAAACAACAAAAACAAACCCAGTGTATTCCCACAAGTGGGGTCCGAGGAGGGTAGTGTGTACGCAGACCTTACCCCTGCCCTATATTTAAAAGGCAAGGAGGTTGTTCCGGTTATATACTAGGCACAAAGTTTTCTTAAAACTTGCGACCTTAAACATGCTTTAACAATTCCATGGTTATAAGAGCATGTCATTACGAGTAAAATGAGAATTTAAAGTTCAAGAGATTTCAAATATAAAAAAGGTGTCATTCTCTTTTAAACAGACTAACAAGAACAGAATATCATATAAAATGAAACAGAGGGAGTAATACATATCTACAAAATGGTCCTGCCTATCCACATAGGACTTATTAGTATGATCACAATAATTTGAACTACAACTTCCAAATGTTAACTATATACTGGTTTAAGAATGTTAAGTTTAAAGTATAGTCTATTTGACTGTTGAAAACTTGTCTCTGACATGTAATTTAGCATGTCTGTTTTACAAGTTTCTTGATAATTTTGATTACAGGTTTCGAAAAACTGAGACAACTGAGGAAACTAGAAAGACTTGATTTGTCCGGGAATCAGTTCAATCGCAGCATCTTTCAATCTCTCAGTCAACTTTCATCTCTCAAGTCATTGAACCTTTCATACAACAATATTGGATCAGGTTCCGACATATGGTTTACACACAACAAAATTGTATCAGGTTCCAACATATGGTTTTCCCTCTGTTTTTCCCTTTGAACTATTGGTCTCCTCAGAAGAACAAGAATATTCTAACTAATCCATTTCCTTAACATTATAGGTTCTGAGAGATTGTCAGGTTTAGACAAGCTGGAAATCCTAGATTTGAGCAATAACAATCTAGATGATGAAAATGTTCTCTCTGCTTTAGGTAAGTAAACTTGTATAGTTTCCCTTTCCCTTCTTTTTTCTTGGTAGCTTCATAACATATTATAACTATAAATTCCTGGACAGAGCTAAATACATCTAGAATGGCGTTGAAGAAGCTCGATATAAGGTACAACAAATTCCGGAGTTTTATACCAAATGAAGGTAAACATAATTCCTGAAGTTTCTTATTATCTACATCTTGGTTAAATATATTTTGTTTCACCATTTTAGGGTTCATTTGCAAGTCGCTATTACCAATTCAACTCATGCATTTACACTTTCAAGTATACAATTTAACACCTATAACTACATGTTGACGATTCTTCTATGTTTCTTTGGCATGTAAGAGTTGGGAGCTTTAAGAAATTTAGAGTACTTACTGTTAGATGGAAACACATTGGATGAGAACTTTCTCAGGAGCAGTGGTGTAATGTCATCTCTTAAAGTATTATCAGTAGCTAACTGCAACCTCAACGGAACCCTACCTCGTCAAGGTAATTTCAGATACAGCATTCACCACATTATCTTTTACACAACTAATATACTTGTTCATCTTTATAGGCTGGTGTGATCTAAAATATCTGGAAGAACTAAGTCTAAGCGGAAACAGCTTCACTGGAAAACTCCCTACATGTCTGGGAAACTTGACATTTCTTCGGGTATTTGATCTGACCATAAATCAGTTTACTGGAAACATTGCTTCATCTCCACTTTCAAGTCTCTTGTCCCTTGAATATCTCCTGTTAGCAAACAACAACTTTGAAATACCAATTTCATTCGAATCATTTGCTAACCATTCAAAACTTAAGTTCGTCACTGCTGACTACAACTCAGTAATTGTACAAACTTCTTCCAAAAGCTGGATACCAAAGTTTCAATTGGAAGTCTTGTCTTTAAACAACTGCTCTCAAATGCCAAGTTTCCTTCATTATCAACGTCATTTAAGGCTTCTTCGTCTCTCAAAATGCAACATTGGTGGAAACTTTCCAAATTGGTTGTTAGAAAACAATCCTAGACTTGCAGAAGTTTTATTGGATGGAAATGCATTCACTGGAATTCTTGAATTGCCACTCCTTCCTAATCTAAAATCTTTCGATATCTCCAACAACAAGATTCAAGGACAACTTCCTCCTAACATTGGGTATATTCTCCCGAATCTTGTGATATCAACGATGTCCAACAATATGCTTGAAGGCTTGTTACCTTCAAGTTTTGGTGACATGAAAGATCTTGCAGTCTTGGATTTGTCATACAATAAGTTAATAGGAGACCTACCAATTGGATTGGCTCATAAAGGATCCAAGTTAAATTTTCTGAGATTGTCGAATAACATGTTGAAAGGGGAGATATTTCCAATTTCAGCGAACATCAACAATTTGTATTATTTATACTTGGACAGGAACAACTTCTCAGGCCCAATTCCACAGAAGTTATCCACTGCTCCTTTGATTACATTGGATTTGAGTTACAATAACTTGTCAGGAAATGTACTAGCGTGGCTTGGTAACATCCCCTCCTTAACCTCCCTCGCGTTGTCCCGAAACCAGCTAAAAGGCCATATTCCACCTGATTATTGCAGACTTGAAGGACTTGAGGTATTAGATCTCTCTGACAACAACATTGTTGGCGTGATCCCGTCATGTTTCAATGCTTCTCTCAGCTTAAAACGTGTGTACTTGAGCAAAAATAAGTTACACGGGGAATTCAACATGTTCTCGAACTCAGATCTAAAAGTCCTGGATCTTAGTGATAACAACTTCAGTGGTTCCATTCCAAAATGGCTGGGCAGTACTCTTGAGATAACCACCTTACTCTTGAAAGGAAATCGTCTTCAAGACACCATTCCAACACAGTTATGTCATGCAAGTAACTTAAGAATTTTGGATCTTTCTCACAATAATCTCTCAGGAACGATACCTCATTGCTTGGGAAGCTTAATGCAACAAGAAATGTTAATAGAACTATATCCATACAGTACATCATCTGGATATCCAGGATTCCAGACGTTCGGAGAAGATGCCTTGATAGATGTAGAATCCTCAATCAAGTTATCGTCGATAATTTTCTTTCTAGATAACTATGCATGGGTTGGAGCAGAGTTTACGACCAAATATAATACCTATTCCTATGAAGGTAGCATTGTTGATTATATGTCTGGAATTGATCTTTCTTGCAATCAGTTCAGTGGTGAAATACCTAAGGAACTCAGTAATCTTACTGAGATTCGGGCACTAAACTTGTCACATAACCACATAACTGGAACAATACTATCAGAATTCTCGAAGCTCCAGAATATCGAGAGTCTGGATCTGTCCTACAACCACTTGACTGGAAGGATTCCTGCACAACTTTCAGAGTTGACAACTCTAGCAGTGTTTAGTGTGGCACATAACAATTTAACAGGTAGGACTCCACAGCGTTCAGCGCAGTTTGCAACTTTTAATGAAAGCAGTTATGAGGGAAATCCTTTTCTTTGCGGTCCTCCATTACATATCAATTGTATGGAGAGTACAGAGATACCGATATCCCCTCCTAAACCAAATTGCTGTGAAGATGATACTGGTTTTCTAGATATGGAGTCGTTCTATATCTCTTTTCTTGTGGCATATGCAAATGTGGTGCTCGTAGTGGTTGTAGTCCTCTGTGTAAACCCCTACTGGAGAAATGTTTGGTTTTATTTTGTCGAGTCTTTCATGTATCCTTGTTACTACTTTTTTACTTCCAAAATGTAAACTGTACATATTAAGGTCATTGATAAGTTAATCATGCCTGAGTTCTGTTCCTATACCTTCTAGTTTCTTAGTACCAAGTAAATGATTATTGAGATGCTACTATCTGCTTTCCTAACAAATTCAAAATCAACATAACCATTTCAAAAATCATCAGCAAACACAAGTCTTTTCTACTCTAGAACACAAACACATGATAAATGTCGCTGTTAAAAGAACATACCTCAGCAAATTTAAGGAAAGACTGTATAGCCGCTGTAAAAATTAGATCCACGTACTAATCCATAACGATCAAAGTTGAAGCATCATCCTATTGGTCAAGCAAATTCAATGAAACAATAACTGGTACTATAGAGAAGCAGCCATAAACTAGAGTCTTGATCAATTTGAAAGATATAAGAAGAAAAAAAACTGAATTTTGAGTTGTTCAATCAAATAAAGGGAAACTGGAATTCATAAATGCCTTAAAACTATTTCAAGGTTAACTTTTAGTTAGATTCATTTATGTAATGGTCATTCAATTGCTTGTTGAGAAAGTAAAGGAGCAAACCATTTGGATAGTGAGAGTACAAGGGAAGAAGGACCAAGGACGAAGTCAATGGTTGCTTTTATTCATTTTCAAAAAGCATAAAAACACGTACTTTTGTATTATCAATTAGAAAGTCTTCCTTTTAGAAGATTATATCTACTAATGAACTTTAACATTTTTAATAAAAGTATAAGTAAAGTTACTTATCTACTATGCTTGGTATAAATTTGTGTCTGTAACTTCTCTTCCCGACCACATTCTTTCTCATAATAGATTATCTATTTCCATTCAGAAAAAAACTAGCAAAATGGCAACATTTTCAATTATTACGGTCTCCAGAAACCAAATCTAAAAGTGTAGTAAACATAGAATACAAAAAGAAAATAAACATACCTTAATAGTTTAAAGTCATACTCATCTCAATGTTTATTAATTCCATCATATAATTGACACATTTTCAACTATTCCAGTCTCCAGAACCCGAACCTAACAGTGTAATGAACATCCAACACAAAAAGAGAATGGACGTATACTTTAAAGTCATATTCATCTCAATGTTTATCAATAGTAAACAAGAATTAGTCATCGCTGTGGATTTTTCTTAGCCCCCATTTGTTGGGGGTGGGGGG